ACGACAAAAGCTGGTACATCACATATATATATATATATTTGATTTTAATGAGTACAGCTAGTAATGAATAAAAACAGACACGACGAAGTGCTTTGATTGCTTTTAAAATGGTTTACTTTCTTACCATAAAGTTTATGTCTCTAGCTCAAATAGGGCTCAAGTTGCATGCATGAGCCACGTGAAAATGGGCCCTTGGGAAATCATGTTTCTAATAAAGTTAGAGCGATGAGCTTCTTCCCAGGCTTTCCCCTTCCGCAGATATGTCACTGACATAAACCGTTCTCTCGAAGCCACAGTAGAAACCGAAATCGGAAACGAATATATTTTAGTTCAAAATTATTTACTTTTTTTGCGGCGATACGAATTTTGCGGGCAAAAATGCGATTTTTTCGGGAACTAACGGTCCAATTTTCGACGCGGTTTGCAGCGATCGATTTCATTTCGTGCCTCGACCTGTTGGTATCAAAAACATTTCGGGATTCTTCGATTGGAGCTGGGAAAACCGTTTTTTTTTGGGGGGAGGGGGCAAATTTTGGTATCGATTTTCTCTGCCCCTACGACTCCGACAACGTTTACGGTTTTAGAGTAAGAAGCTCTATGTTTTCATATAAAAAACTTCATTTCACTGTGGTCTTCATGGTGTTTTCGACCCCTATGTTAACGTTTTTCGAGGAATTCTCCGTAACTGTTTGGTAGAAAATAGCAGTGTTTTGCGTGTAGATGAATACCTATGTGGGTACTATTCGGTTTTGAGGGCCGTAAAATAACTGCAGCGAAAATGTATGCGCAAAAGCGCCAAATCTAGCAAACGCGCCCATTTAACAGCGCGCCAAATCTAGCGTACACGTTGATTTCAGATTGCGTAAATTTATATTGCTCTATATTTCTTAAGACGCCATTCACATACTAGTTTAATTTTTAAATCCTTTTTTGATTTTAAATCCTTTTTGATATCCTATGGATTTAACAATTTGGGAATTGCCCATGACGAAAAGTCGGCAACAGAATTTTGGATAAAGTGCAGAATCACCCACTGCTTGACGCGTTTTTAAGAATTGCACATACTCGGTATCCATGTGCACATCGACCTATTTTCACTTAAAAAAAATCCTAGAATTGCACACAAATGGCACTGCGCACACCCTTGACTTTATCTATGTACACATCGACCTATTTTCACTTAAAAAGTAAAAGAAAATTGACAAAATTTCAATTGTTTTTACCCTTGTAAAAAGCGGCAAACAATTAAGTGAGCGATCCTGCACTTTACCGAGAATATTTTCGAAGAAAAGGCATCATTCATTTTAGAAAATTACGTTTGAGCAACCAACGAGATGAAGTTATGCTTTAGCGATAAGTCGGTAGCGAAATAGCGATGCAGGCATTTAATCAGTTACGTTTAGCAATTTTTATATAAATTATAATAATGATCTGAAATAGTTATTGACTCTTATGCTTCCATTCAGTCATGTTTATCCTTTTTCATATAAATTGTAATAATAAAAAATATTTTATGAAATTAACCTTTCATCTAAATTAAAACATTAATTTTAGATAGTTATTTACTATTATACTTCCTTTCTTGCCGCAATTATTTTTGGCAGCATTGGCATCAACAATAGTTTGGCGATTTTTTACGGCCCTCGAAACCGAATAGTACCCCTATGGGACATTTCATATCTCGGAAGAATGGTGACTATCTACATTAGGCGATTTTGTTTTAAATTTTGGAAAAATTTTTAAAAGTCGATAAAAAATAAAAATTTCGAAGGCATTACAAAACGGAAATAGGCAAAATGTTTGTCTCGAGACACTCTACCATAGAAAAAAAAAATGTCTCTAGCCCAATTAAGACCGAAGGTGCATATAGGTATCCTATCTCATATAACGGTAACCCATATAATGGCTTAATCGATGACAGGCGATTTGAAATAAATACTGAATATGCTTTCGCTTGCACTTGTGTGTAGAGAATCAAAATATTACATTTTGGGCGGTGACAAGGTGTTTTTTTTTTTTTTTAAATCACACAACTGGATCTATCAATGGAATGGAAATAAAAAATTAAAACTTATCTTACATTCTCCCGAGTGGCAACACATGTCTTTGAAATCGCCGAGTTCGGGGATTAAATTTCAAATTGAAATATCTTACTCTTTACCGAGTGACAGAACACCCTAGTTTTATTCTAGAAAGTTTTAAATCCATGTTTTTAATCAATCCAGTCCCAGGAACATTTCTTCCAATAATCGAATTGTTATTTTGCGATAAAAATAGTATCAATTACATTATTATAATTATAATTCATTATTAGGAAAGCGCCAAAACAGATCCTTCAATCCACAGCTTGTTTAATATAAGACATTATGAAAAGAAGAATCAACTTAAATAAACCAGACGATATTTTTAATTTCAAATAATAAGCTGTTGCCAGAAATTTTGATTCCAAAACATTTGCTCTTTTAAAATTCTTTATCGAAATCCTTCTAAAAGTATGTAAATACACTTTATATTATTAAATAACGAAGAAACTGTATATATAACGAATTAAAACTATATGCACAGATACAATAGATTTACAACGCGAAATTTTGATCCTTATCAAAATTCTCAAAAATAATCTAATTCCCTTTCAATTTATCAACCATTGCCTTAAAAGAGCAGGCGTTAAATACTCACTCTAAATCATTTAACTGATAGGGATATGATAATTTATTCCTAAACCTGAGAAGGCGGTATAAGTTGGATGACTGTCAGTTGAAAGATTTGTATATAGTGTAATTACTCAATTGTATATATTGTAAAAAAGCTAATTGTCTTCAGACATATACTGTTACTATACTGTTACTAAAAAAAATGGGCCTATTTCCTGCCTTTAGACTGTCTACTAGCTCTTGGATAGCGAAAATGCCTTTTCCTTTCCTTTCTTAATTCTTAATCATTGCGACACGACAATTAGCCAGAAATTAATTAATTTCCATTCACTAGTATTTTTAAAAAAATCTTAACAGACGGTCTCTCTCAGATAAGAACTCCACAAAATACATCCCCTCAAGAATTCCGATCCCACCCACTACCATAAATTTCTTCACCCAAGTCTTACCGACTGATATAATTCAAAGCCCCTACTGCCGCTAAGAATTTTCGGACACCCTACACTTCTGAGTCGACACGAAGAGAACACACTGCCAACTCCCCCACTAGAAAGAATGTAAGTTACTTAATACCTTTCTGGCCTTTATATCTTCATGTACATTCACTGATCTTATTTATATTATTTCTATTTTATTTTTATATTATTTTTATATTATTTTTATGTTCTTTTGATTTGTTTTTGCAAAGTTTGCATTATTTATCTTTTTTATAATCTTCTATGTTTATTTCAACTTTACTTTGATTTCGATTTCATAATGACAATTCCAATTTTAATTTCTACAAATAATATAGTACTCAAATACATAAGATGATAGTGTCGGGGACGATTACTCGAGTTTTACAAGATTTCTCTACAGTAATTGATTTTACTCCAAATTGAATTGACTAAAATGCTTCATGAGAATCAGTTCTTTGAGTAACAACTATTCACGGAAATATTTGGCCTGACTAGAATTGCCGGTTTGGCTTTAACTATAACTCGAGTAAAGACGAAACACTTTCATATTTACGTATTTTTAATCAATTATTGATCATTGAACGGGAGTTGGTTTGTTCCCCTTGAAAAGTCAACTAATTTCCGATCAATGACAATAATTACATGTTTTAATTTTTTACTTTTACAATTGTAATATTATTCTTCGTGATGATTTAACTCCAGTCCCCGTTAAAACATTATTAACATTTTGCTTTCAAATTACTTCAAAACATCTTTCAAAATATAACTTACCAGTATGGATGCACACTTTTAAAATAATTCTACTTTCATTAAACTTAGGAGATATATAATCAATTAATCAATACTGTTTAGGAATAAATTATATATATATATATATATATATATATATATATATATTCTCCTGCCTACTCTACGATCATTCAACATATGCATTTTTTAAAAAAATTGTTTAATTTTAATTTTTAATTTAATAAATTAGTAGATTTATTTTCATGGATAGATTTTGCACTTGATTTGCTTATACTTCTGAATTTAAATGATATTGTAGATTAGTTCGAGAATTAAATCTTTTACATGTTTGCATATTTTAAAATTATTTTTAATTATTTGGCTTTTTTTTTTCCTTTTTTTAGAGTTTAAATTTGCTTTTTTACTTTTTTTACTTTTATACGTATTTGTTAAAATTTAAATTCCATTCCTTGCAGCAATGGCGCAAAGAATATTTAATTAAATATGTATTTAAATTTAATTTTTTTAATTAAACTCAATTTATTCTTATGAAACAATATACATATATATATATATTAGAAGATAAATTTTAGTACGCACGCTAAAAAGTTACCAAAAACTCCGTTAAAACTTCAACATAAGCATATTTGGTTGCTATGAAATGTGTGAACAAGAAGAAATATACAACATTTGAATATTTACAAGTAAAATTAATAAAAATAATAAGCTATATGCTAAATGAATTAAGTAGATTTAAAACACAGTAAAATACTAATCAATCGATCGAGGTAAAAAAAAAATTAAATTAAAACTAAAATTAAGAAGCGGTAAATGGTTAATTAGCCCAATTTGAAGTTCATTTTGGCTTGTCAAGGGAAAGTAGTTTTTAAAATGAATTCGAACTAAGCTAACTCCATCACGCGTTTCGCCGAAACAGACAATTGAAACTGACCAGAACATAGGTCTTTTTTCGTTTGTTCTTACTAATATTTAAATTCAAATTATATATATATGCATTTCACCATACGTATCTGGAAAATATCTGGGATCTGGAATGTATGTTATATTTGGAAAATGCCTACTTTTGTTATACATGCATTTCTTTCATGCAAGTGAAAGTTATGACTAAACCACAAAATTTCAAAAGAAAATTTCCTTATTACAGTAAATGAAATGTTTTAATATTGAAGCGATTACACAGACTTATAACTGCACATGATTGATAAAGACAAGCCAGAAGTGCGTCAAGTTTCGGCATTCGCTCCACACGGACAGACGTTCAACCAATCCGAGGCAGCCATTCCTTCCAAAAATATCGCCTCAGTTCAGCTTCATACCAAACTCTCAGGACATATATATATATATTACAAAGCCTACAGATAGGCCTCTGCTCCCTAATAAGCACTCGTTCCCTTCCATAATCTTGGAGTGGCATTGAAGTTCTGGAAAACCATTTTCTTCGCAGGCGTATATCCGTTAGGACGTACATCTTGCTGGATGTTTCTCGAGACAACGGGGGCAGTAGATGTTGTGACCGCCGTATTATCCACTGCAATGAAAAGAAATATAACAAAGTATTATACACAATTCATTTTAAAATTAGCATGAATATACACAATGTCCACGAGAGTCCTCACTCGGTCTTTATTTCCGTTTATTTCTTATTAATGTTTTAAATCAGGCAAAGATTCATGTTTTCGCACTTTTAAATTTGAAACAAAATTAGCTTTGTATAAAATACCAAATTCAACTTTCATATATTTCCCCGATCCTTGCATTTGTATTTAGGAAATGTTTGCACTCGTTATATTAGCCCAAAGGGGCAATTTGCCCAAAAGGGCTGTTAATTTCGTTTTGTCATTTTGTGTTGATTCACTGTAAACGGAGGATCACTTTTGTCCAAAAGGGCTGTTAATTTCGTTTTGTCATTTTGTGTTGATTCACTGTAAACGGAGGATCACTTTTGTCCAAAAGGGCTGTTAATTTCGTTTTGTCATTTTGTGTTGATTCACTGTAAACGGAGGATCACTTTTGAAATTGTTGTCACCTAATATTAGAGCCCTGTATTATATTTAAAGAAATTAAATAATGAAGAATCTGCATAAATGTACGTATAGTTCTCGCGCTGCGATAAAACGACGGTACCTAGAGCCATCGAAGTTTAAATAACGTAATCCTCCACCCGAATATGGGTATCTGGAAGCCCAAATTTGGAATTTGTCTTATTATCTATTTCATATTTTGTAAAGCATTTATGAGTTTTTGATTAAGAAGCTCAACGATTTCGAAGCGAGCCATGGCAATAGTGTATTATAAAAAAAAAAAAAAAAAAAAAAAAAAAAAAAAAAAAAAAAAAAATTCCAGCGCGCGAGATTGTGTATCGGAAATTCGACTTTAGTGTAGAATTGGGTGTCCCTTCGATTGGCGACATTTTTTTTTTTTTAATTTTGGCGATGAAACCTCACTTCTGGTTACCACGATAGATTTAAATTTGTTTTAGCTTCCCGATTTTATTTAAATGAAAATAGATTGATGTGTACATGGACATATTTAAGGCAGTGCACAATGCCTAGTTTATGCAATTCTAGGATTTTTTTAAAGTAAAAATAGATCGATGTGTACATGGACACAGATCTTATGCAATTCTTCGACTTCTTATTTTGGTTTTGTGTAGCGGCCATCTCGAAATTGTGACTTCATGGCGCCGATCTTGGCATCAAGAAAGAATCGCCAATAAACAAGGGGCACCCAATTGTAAACTTTTACCGGAAATTCTAAAGATATGCTTTTTTAAATATTTTCCAATATTGCTGTTGAACTGAACTTTATGGTTTAAGTGCAAAGAACGTGATATTTAATAAATAAAGGTAACACACAAAACGTTAAAAAAGTCCCTTTGGGCGTAATATAAAATCTGAAAGCATTCAGATTTTTTTTTTTTTTTTAGTTTGGATTTTTATATACCATACTTGCTTGCGTACTTCTTCCCTTTTTTTCCTACACAATATTTTTAGTCTATGTGTTTTCCATGTTTTCACATAGGAAACAGCGAGATTTGGCAAAGTCGATAACAATGCTCATTAAGCGAGATTGCATGAAGCGGTAACTACTATATTGTATATTTAAGATCGCTACGCGGAGTCCCGTAGACAATTATTAATAGAATTTCGCATTCAATGACTAATATTAATTTTATATTATGGCATCACTGCGTGAATCCAAGAGGTGATTTTTACGTAGGGATAAAAGTAATGAACAATGATTCCCCAGGTTGAGGAATAAACATCTAGTATAAACATGGCTGTTAATTTCTCTTTGGCACTGAACTTAAACTGCTCCATTTCTTTATTTTAAAAATCTTCATAATAAAGATTATAATTGCATGACATATCAAACACCGATACACAGTACCTAAGTTCACTGCTTGCACTTACAGTAACTTATATCAGAGACGCCAATCTAGCGAACCATTATTCATTACTTTTCTTTCATCAGTACGCGACAATCAACTCATGCTTAAACCTGACTCACGCATTGGGGCTACAACATTCGATTAATGTCTCCTAACCGCGAAAGTGGTTAGCGACGTTGACTGCCATACCAAAAGGTACAGGTTTGAATCCCAAACCCATACCAAAGGGTACGGGTTGACTGCCATACCAAAGGGTACGGGTTCGTTGATTGCCATACCAAAGGGTACGGGTTCGTTGACTGCCATACCAAAGGGTACGGGTTTGAATCCCAAACCCATACCAAAGGGTACGGGTTGACTGCCATACCAAAGGGTACGGGTTCGTTGACTGCCATACCAAAGGGTACGGGTTCGTTGACTGCCATACCAAAGGGTACGGGTTTGAATCCCAAACCCATACCAAAGGGTACGGGTTCGTTGACTGCCATACCAAAGGGTACGGGTTTGAATCCCGGAGAAGGCAGGAATCTCTGTGCGGTATGGGAGGCACTCTAAATATGCGGCGAGCCGGAATCCCTTTCGAAAGATTGATCGTAGAGGAAGAGAGGTGGGAGACTCTCGGGTGCTACTTTGGTAGACGGTTGCACGGATTTTGGCGATTTTCTTTTGGCGAGTAATACAACTTATGGTAAACCCATTGCTGGATAAGTTATTTATGGTAACCGATACTTTGTTGTCATTTTATTTAAAAAATAATGTGTTTTATTGTGCATATCTTCCGTGTTTTAAATATTATTTATGGCTTCTAAATATTAAAAATCAATTTAATTTTGCATTTTTATTTGAAATAAAAATTTTATTCTTTATCATATTCTATGCAATTTTATGTTGTGGATGATGTAATCAATGACGTCACCTTACTTTAAAAGTAATTGGTTTTAATATGTATAAATTTAATCTAATGTTTTAAACATTATTTATGGCTGTTAAATATTAAAATACAATTTAATTTTGCATTTTTTTTAAAAATGATTTTATTATGTACGAATTTTTAAATAATTTTAATTCTAGGCGTGATGTAATCAGCTCTCTGATTGGTTATAGAATAGTTGTGCATTAACGAGCTGTAATCAGCTCCATGATTGGTTACTGACAATTTGTGCATTTTCGGGCCGTTTTAAAATTTAATTCATATCTTCGAATTCCTTCAAAGATGTTATTTAAAATTATGATTCCGATTTTTTTTGTGGTACTTATCAATAAACAACATGTTAAATGACTGAACAAATGTAAGTACATATTTTTCTTTTATTTTATAATTGTATACTTCAATTTTTGTTAAAAAATTAATACACTATTTTCAAAAATTGCTGAGATAATTATTGTCCATATGTTTTAATATAAATTATATTCTATATAACGTATTTTAAAGTATTTGAATTTAATAATATTCTAATTCTTTTAAATGTTGGTAGGATGGTTTTTAATTCGATATTCAATTTCAGTAATATTTTAATCTAATTAAACGTTGGCACAATGTTTTTATAGCGGTGTTTTTATTCTCTTCTTTGCTATATGAAAGTAATAATAACCTTACTTTGGTATTTTATACTCATAGTAAATGTATTTCTTTACACTTGCCTGCCATCTTAAAAACGACATTTTCAACAAAAAATTAATCCATTACTTTTAACGATATTTATTTATTAGTCCAAAGGGATTTGAATCCCGAAGGACTATTAGTTTCGTTTTGGCATTTTGCGTCCGACGGATAAATGTCGGTTCACTTTTCAAACTGTTGCCATAAAATGTTAGAGTCCTGCATTATATTTGAAGAAATTAAATAATGAAAATCTGCGTAAATGTATGTATATTTCTCACATTGTCATAAAATAACGGTACATAGAGTCATCGAATTTTGAATAACGTAATCCTCCAACGAATATGAGCATGTGGAAGACCAAATTTGAAATTTGAAATTTGTTTTATGATCGATTTCCTATTTTTTAAAACTTTGACGAATTTTTGATTAACAAACTCAAGGATTTCAAAGCGAGCAATGGCAACGTTGTGCAGAAAAAAACATTTTTATCTCCAGCGCGTGAGTCTCTGTATCGGAAATTTCTAAAGATAGGCTCGTTTTAAAACTATTTTGCGATATTGCTGTTGCACTGGATCTTATGGTTTAAGTGCGAGGAACATGATATTTAATAAAGAAAGGTAACACACAAAATGTTAAAAAACGCCCCTTTGGACGTAATTTAAAATCTGAAACATTTCAGAATTTTTTTTTTTTTGGTGATTTTTTTTTTTTTTTGGTGATTTTTTTTTTTTTTAAAGTTTCGAATACTTAACTATGCGTAAAAACAGCGTTTTTCAAGATGGCTGACGTTTGTAAAAATCGCGTCAACAATTGCGCCAACGTAAATCGCCAAAAATCCGTGCAACCGTCTACCAAAGTAGTACCGACTCTCCGACTCGTCCCCCCCGGGTTTTCTCCAGCAACGCACTGGAAGCGGAACTGAGCAATGTCGTACTGTTCCTGTATGGTGCTCAAGGCTGTTGCCAACGGCAGGAGCAATCTTGCACTCCTTGCCAAGTTGAATTTCGTGGTCTTGTTCTGATGTCACTGTCAGACAAGTGATATGAGTCACAACAATACATTCGATTAATATTATTTATTGAATACGAAACAAATAATATATTGTTGCGTGCGTACGGGTTCGTTACGAAATGAACGCACAAGTCCGATGAAAAAGGAACAAAAATTTATTATTATCACAACAAATATGCTTAAATTTCCTAAAATATTCGTGCAGTTTTACAATATCTCACAGTAGTTGATCTTTAACTACTCAAACGTTCTTTTAACTACTCAAACGTTCAAGAGAACTTCACTCAAAACAGCTAGAGAAAGCTAATTCGCGAATTCGCTACAGTCAACGAGAGCAGTTTTCTAAACACACTCTTAAAACAACAACAAACTAAGTAACTACAACGAACTGAGAGGTTTTCCTCCTTTTATAAGATTTTAAAATCGCGCGCGAGAACTTTCTGGAACTTTCTCAAAATCAGAAAGAGATATTTATTAAATGTTAAATGCACGCGCTCTTGTATTTTCAATTTTCCGGCTTAGCTTTCTTTTAATATTCGTCACGCGCTGCACTGCGCGGGAAATAAAACCATTTAATTTACAATTCAACTAACATAAGCTATTTAAATACCAAATCCGTAACAATATTTAAAATACTGCAACTTCATCTCGAATGCCTATTGAGAAACACTGCTGCTTCGTTTTCAGAGGTTATAAGGATAGAATTCGCGCTTTCGATTACAGTACCACCTCGGTATACGTCACCAATCCGTTCCTATTTGTTGAACGTGTGGCCCACTGGCGACCGAGCGGTAAAATCGCTGAACACCGGTAATTTCGTCCTGGGTTCGTTTCCAGGCGAACGGACTGGCTGCATGAGTGTTTTATTGGTTTTTTTCCATGTGTAACACGACAACATTCAATACATAATTCAAATATAACACCCAGCATATGCTATGCCAAAACCATCAAGCTCTATAATGAACATAACTTCTTGCATTGTAAATAATCTGTAATAGTATGATAATGCTATGTCCTATGAACATAACTTCTTGCATTGTAAATAATCTGTAATAGTATGATAATGCTATGTCCTATGTGTTGAAGTATGTTGTAACAGTATGTTGCTCTATGTCCTATACGTTGTTAGCGCTATGTCCTATGTTTACTGTAATCAGGTCCCCTGTGGGAGGGGCCGTGCCAAAATCAACAAGCTCTATAATGAACACTTAACTTCTTGCACTGTCAAAAATCTGTAACAATTGTTTAATGTATGTCCATGTGTTCGAAGTATGTTGTAACAGTATGATGTGCTATGTCTTATTTGTTGTTAGTACTATGTCCTATGTATACCGTAATCGGGTCCCCTGTGGAAGGGGCGGTACGCTAGAGAGGTAGTGCATGGGGGCTATACCATTTTTGTCAATGGCGATGGCGTGGTGCCCCCTGTACTTGTTCCTGTCCTGTCCATGTGTAACACGTACACGAACCAGATTCACTTAGAAAATCCTTTACGAAGACATCCGTTAAGTAGATATCCCAACTGTGCTTTGCCATTATCAACTAAAACCAAACCTAAATCAAACCTTGGACGTATACCACACGAACTTCTCTAATAATAAGCAAAAAAAGAAAATAATGAGTCCATTCTTACAAAAAAAAAAAAAAAAAAAAAAAAAAAAAAAAAAAAAAAAAAAAAAAATGCTATTTTTATTATTGTAACACTTGTTGAGACATTAGGTTTCTTTTAAAAAATTCAGGAGACGTGAAAACGTGCTCTGCCCTCACCGGAACACGAACCTGGACCTCTGGAATACGTTCCGAGTGCGCTACCGTTACACCACGAAGGCATGCAGAAAGGAGAGAGAAAATACCTTATATACTCTTTAATAATAAACTACAAATGCAGTGGCTGAAATATATACTTTACATAAAAGAAGCACAATATATGATGATGTACATAAATGTTTTTCTGCTAGTTTAAAGGCAATTTTATAAATGCTCCTCGTTTCTCATTCTGATGTCTCTTATCTTTGTTTGGTAATCGATTTCACCCCCTTCGCGATGCTAACCGATTGAAGAGAGTCTTTGTTTTTCATAATCGCAGACATCATCTTACTTGGCAAAAGCCGAATCGCTGATTCTTCATACTTCTCAACAATCCTGTTATCGGGAATGAAAGGGCGGATATGCTAGCTAAAGAGACTGCCCTGGGAGAGGGTGATATTTATGACGCTATTAATGATTCCAGAAGAATTACCTTGAGAAATATGAAAACAAGTATAATTGAGAAATGGGCTCGGGAATGGAAGGGTTCAAATAAAAATAAGGGTTACTTGAAAAATTTTTACCATGAAAAGAAAAATGGATCTATTTAATAATATAGATACTATTCCAGTTATCACGGATCATGGTAGATTCCCGGCCTATTTAAAACGTTTTAATCTGCAGGGCAATGATCCCAATGCTTGGCTTGTAGGGGAAGTACGGAAATGCAGCTCATTTTATGGAAGAATTGTAAACTGACGAGAGTGTGAAGACGAGATTTGGAAAAATAAATAAACAGAATGTAATTGAAAAAAGAAATTCTGAATAGCTATGCAACAGAAATTATGAGGATTGTGAATGAAACAAAAGACTATCATAGGAATGGGAATTTAAATATTTTAAACTTTAATTTTTTTTTTTTTTTTTTTTTTTTTTTTTTTTTGTTTGTCTACGTCGGGTGTGCTGCGTTAACCATGAGGCCGATTATTGTCGGCCAGGAGGGTTGCAGCATACTCGTAAACTAAACTAAACTAAACTTCTCAACAATCCATTTTTTTCACCTCCATGTTGATCATAACTATTTTCTTCGTTGCTTGAAGCTTCTCATTATTTTCCTAAAATTTGCTGTTAAAGAACTTACTAACAATTTACGACAGAGAACACAAAATCACTCGAAAATTCAGAGTTATAGCGCAAGTTGTTTACGGAATAGTAGTAACAGGCCTACTGGCGCTTATGGACAGTCGTAACAATATCCGAAAAAAGTTAAACGCGTGCAATGCGAGCAGTCGTAACTCGTCGAATTCGAGTCGTATACCGGAGAAATACTTTCGCTTGCATTGGACATTCTTCAAAATAGACGTATACTGAGGTACAACTGTAAATTTAAAATTGGAATAAATGTTACCGATTGGTGTTGTCCCAGACCATCCTTTGGGGGCCTTGGCGTGGTATATGTCGTAGTGGGCTGCAGCTGGGGTCACGTGAGCAGGAGGGGATATGCAGTCTTCCAGCCTCGAAGGTTCCCGACTGTTGGTGGTGATAGAATTTCTCCGTTTATTATCGGCCGCTTTAATCACTGTGTCTGCGAGCTCGTCGGGACTGACCCTTGCAAAAGCAGCGTCGCACAGTCCATAGGGGTTCTCCATGGCTGCTTCCCAGGGCGTCTTGACAAGTTTCACTTCCTGCAAAAACAAAGTAGCGAGTTTTGGTATTTTAGCATCGCTTCATAAAGATAATCGTATTTCATTTTGAAAAATCAAATCTTTGACGAAATGGAAGGTAACTTGGACACGAATGTGCTTCTCAGACAGCAAGTTTCCAAAAATATGCGCGTAATTTTGGTGAACTAAGGGTATGGTATTTTTAAGGTTATTTTTACGAAAATTATGCAAATTTTAAAATAAAATCTGAAGATATTGCCGAAGCTTCATTGAAATTTTCCACCGTTATTTTTAAGAAAATTATACAAATTCGAAAGTGCTGAAAAAAACTACCAGCTTAATAGAATTTTTCTTTCGAAATGTACCGTTTTCATTCATTATGAAAACGGTACAAATCAAAACTGCATATGTAAAAATAGTACATTATCAAAACTGCATATGTAAAAATAGTACGTAAGTAATTGAAGATTTACGTAAGTGTTTGAGGGAAATATCCGGATATTAAAAAGTGCAGGAGACTGAGCTAAATTTTTACCAAAATTATACGTATATGCAACATAAAAAATAGGGAAGATTCACCCAAATTTCTGTCAATATTCATTTAAGTAATTCGTTTACGTCATGCAGTAATTCGTTTACGTCCATGAGATACATAAAGCTGTACCAAAAAAAAAAAAAAAAAAAAAAAAAAAAAAAAATACATCGTTGAAATAAACGAAAATGATACATGAACTCTATAAGTACTACAATTCCTGTGAATATGTCTAAATTTTACATAAAACTTAACGTACAATGTAACGCAAAACATACATAAATTTCTACTATTTGTTTTCAGACACATACTATGATACTTTTACGCTTAAGATTTATATAAGAATGCTCATTCGTAAATTGTACGTGTTTTTCGCATTCAGTTTACGAATGCATGCTTATCTTCATTTAGCAGTTTTACGAACAATTTGCGCGCAAATTCCATATTCTTAGGCGGGCTTTATATTCGTTTCGCCATTTCAAATCTTTCGATTAATCTAAACTTTTGTTTTAATGTTAAATAACTTTCTTGCGCTTTACTTGTAACATGCTCTTTATTCAATTTTTAGTTCTAAAATTTTAAATCAATTTTTAAAAGAATGAAAATAAAATATGAATGAAAAAAATAAATGCCACTGATCAATGAAGACTCTGCCTTCAAACTGTACGAGGCAATTGTTGAAACTAATCTTGATAACGCAATTCAGAGATTTTTAGAGCGTGTGTTCGCCACCCCGCTCGCGTAATCCTCAAACCGGATAACCTGCATTCAGATAATGGAGAGTACATTTTACATCGCAATGAAGAAACGGAAAACACAATTCGAGAAAGCATAATTGAGAATTTTACTAATTCAGAATTCAAACAACAGAAATCAGCGTTATATTTTCTAATTTTCACAGGATAGTTCGAGGTTTACCGAAACACCCTCCCGCTGCAAAGCGCAAATGAAAAAAGAAGATATAATGATTAGATAAGATAAGAAAAGCCTGGACAAGATAAGCTCGTGTGCCATTGTTATGAAACCAGAACTAAACATAATTTCTTTAAAAGCCGAAAGGCAAAGAGGATTGGAATTAGGAATGTAAACTGAACAGAAAGATTTTTTGAATGGAAATGCCTTCTAAAAATCCAGTTCAATGGAAGATGTTTCTGAATAATTTGGCAGAGAAAATTTGAAAGTGTAATGTTCGGGACGAACAATGTTGGGCAACAGAAGACTTTCTGTGTCTTTTTAACATATGCTCATGTTCCTTGACGCGAAATTTTAAGGTTTCTTAGTTGGCCAATGTAAATTAAACGGTATGGCAGGAATCTATAAATCCCAGAAGCTTTATAAAAGTTGCACATGTTTTGCAGAAATTAATTTCGGCACGTTATTTACCATTATAAAAAATCGAGTTCATACTCAAGGACAATTCCGGATTCCTGGGGTATTTAAGGATTCCTTGCCGTAGTGTGTTAATTTCATGGCCAAACTATGACAGCCTTAAAATTCGCGTCAAGGAAATAGGCATATGTTAGAAAAAAGGAAACACAGAAAATCTTTTGTTTCCCAAACATATGATCGAATACACTTTCATTTTTTGCTGCAAAATTATTCAAAAACATCTTCGACTGGAGAACTGAATTTTAGAGGATCATTTTACATTCAAAAATCTTAGTTCTAGTTACGATCCTAATTCCATCATCTTGCCTTGGCCTTAAAGAAATGTGTTTTAGTTTGGTTCATAAACAGAGGCGCCTAGTTCTTTGTCAGGCTCTTCTCTTATCTATCATTATATCGTTCGTGTGATTTCAGCTGACGATGTGTGGTTCGGTTAAAACCATCGAAAATAGTCTGTGAAAATTTGAAAATATAACGCTGATTTTTGTTGTTTGACTTCTGAATTAGTATTTGTTTGGCGTGTTATTGTGTCTTGAGAATTTTACGTTATAACATTTTATAAGTTCCTTACTGGTCTTCCAATTCCAGAGTATTGATTGAAGGGTGGATTAGGCGTTGCTACTCTAGATTTCTTTTCTTGTTCCCGCAAAAGAGTCTTCACTTTTTCTTCGTCTACTACCCATTCTTCTGACTTTTTCTTCCTCTTAGCAAACAGGGCAGCACCTGAGAAAGCAAAATCTTCTTTTTAATTTACAGAGTATACGATGAGTTTGGTTTCATTTACCAACAAATAACTAGTAAGTCCTTTATTATTATGGTTACAACTTTTCAATATCGCAAAATTAAGCAAAATATTGACTTAAATATAAAACAGTCTATTCTTTAGAATACCCTTCTACAGAATGCCTCCCTGTTGTACGGACAGCTTAAGATTTAAAGAAAGTATTGATACAGTTTTGACTTGCAGTGTTCTTTTACGTTAATTAATATATTATGTTATTATTTAAACTTTTATTGTCACATTTTTCTTCCGTTTTCAGCCCAGAATGCATATTAGCTCGCGTGTATTTAAAATGAGGTTTTAAGATTGTTACACACAGCGTATTCTGCCTCCTAGGCCACGTTACTAGGTTGCTAGCTCAGGTGAGATTTGTAGTTTTCAGCCTTGCATTGTAACTGCCAATATTGAATCTCTACGCCGGTTAAGTTTGAGCCACCTTCGCGTTAAAATGATTTGTGTGGACTTTGGCCACTAGTTTACTTGAATTTAAATTTTACGTTTAACTGTTACTACTTTGAGATATCTCGCCATTTGTGCTGGCTGAGTTGTAAGCACCAGGTATGCTTTCGTTCTTCTTAGTTTTAAATAAAAGTATCTTTTACACCCTTCTCGAGTTTTAGCTGTTATTTTAGACTTAGCGATAATTCGCTTAACGTCTGCACGTATTGCGTAAGTTAAGAAATAAATTTACATATTTATCTTTGCTGGCAAACATGGTACTTATATCCCACGGCCACAGTTTCAGTGCACGATGCTAATATATGTAACATTACATCCATGTATTTACGTAAAAAAAGCAAATTTAAAGTTAAAATAATGTGCAAACATATAA